TTAAATTAAATTATAGTAATAAAATAAGTTACATAAAAATAAAAAATTATAAATAGTTGATTTGATATTAGTATTGATATATTTTTTTCAAATTTATATTTTATTCAAAAATAAAATCATTAATGCTTTCTTAAAAACACATAAAATCGTATTATAACATCGACAGAGACAAATAATAAAATAGAACATTAAAACCAAGATGTGTCTTGCTACATTACGCGAGTACTCTTCTAGTATCATACAAAATAATAAAATAGAGTAATTAAAAAAATCAAAATAAAAAAATTTGTTGTTAATGGTAAATTACTTATTTGGTCCCTGTGGTCCGGAAAAAATGGCAAAATAAAGGAAAAGAAACTAAAAAGACCTATTTACCCTTATAGTTAACGGACAAGTTGAACAGTCGTTAATATGAAGGCCTAAATCCATTAAAAAAAAACTGTATACATGGAGGGGTTCTTTTGTATAAATGAAGATAAAGACCAAATTCGTAAAAATTGGCATGCTTTAGGGACCAAATCCTTAATTTACTCTTTTAAATCGATTCCAAGAATGGTGAGTCAAAGCTACGAAAAACGATATATAACTCTGAAAGGTTCAAATATTCATTTTAAATATTCTCAAAGTTGGAATATTTTTCTTATCAGTATTATTTATTCTCGAATAGTTGACATGTGATTAATGCTAAAATTACGAAAGTAGGGTATTTTGGCATTTTGGGTTTATTCTTTGTTCTAGGTATGGGCAACATGCTTGATTTGCGGTTAAAAAACTCCGTTTGTCTAAACGAATCTAAAAAGGTCAGAAGGTATTAAATAAGTCAAAAAAGAACAACACGTTTTCAAATCATATTTTCTTTGGTAAGTATATATATTATTCTAATCATTGTCGGATTAGATTCGAGGGAATATTTCTTCAATTGTAGTATTGTCTCTACAAATAGTTCTGTTTGGTGATATAATTTCATCATATAGCATCGAGATGCATAAAATGAGACCAACTTGTATTATCAAAATAATAGTTGTATATAACTCATTCATATATATGTTCAGTAACTGTAAACATATATATGTCAATTGAGAAAATTAACTGAATGTGATATACGTAAGAAATATGGATAAGTTGTATTAAATGATTAATGATTAAAAAGAAATTATGACTAGAGAAATAACATATTCTATATTAGAATAATATTGTAATGTACCAAAGTATCAACCCGACCAACCCGTACGGGTTGGGTTGGGTTACCGCAAGCATTGGGTTGGGTTGTTCAAATGTTTTCAACTCGATCAACCCAATCCATGAGCACCCCTAATAAGAAGAGATTTTTTATTATTATTTTTGTATTATCAAAAAGCACAATTCTTGAAAATCAGTTTTTATAATGACTATATAAATATAATCTATATTTTATCAGTATAACCTTAAAATAAAATCTAATTCTCTTATAAAACATTAAATATACATCTCTCTTTACATTTTATTCATTATTTAAATTTTTTTAATTACATTTTGTGATTTTTAAACTCTTATTTTACTGTCTTCAAAATATTATTTTAAAAGGGTTTCTACATTTTGATTGATTTTTGTATTTTATTAAATATTAATAATAAAAAATAATATATAAAAAGTATAAAATAAAAATTAAAAACTACATAAACTTTTTATTTTGATGTCACTTTAATCGTCTTGACGAAAACTTTCTAGTAGTATTTAAAAATAATTAATGTTATTATAAATTAACAAATTATATAAATTAATCAAAAAATATAATGTATATAAAGAACTTATTAGGGGTAAATTAGTTATTTTACTTGTTATGTCATGTCTAATTATGTCTTAGGGAGTGTTTAGGATTGCTTATAAAAGTTGTTTTTTAACTTATTTCAGTATGGCACCGGTGATAAGCTGTTTTCTGGTGTTTGGATAAGAAAAAAAAACTGTTTATATCGGTGCCAAACCAGTCATAAGCTGTTTTTGATAAGTTAATCATTCCTGACTTATGAAAAACTGCTTATTAACAGTTTACAATTTTAACCTTGTTTTATTTAACTCTGATTTGATACCACATAAGTTAATAAACACTTTTACAAAAAAACACAAGTTGTTTTAAATAAGCAATCCCAAACACCCCCTTAGTAGATGATGAATAGCTGGTTCTGTTTTATTTCATTTTATCATGTTCTATCATGTTTGATAAGCAACACACACATTGGGTACGTTTGATAACTAAACAGAACTAAACATAGATCCTTATTTCACGTTTGATCGAACTTTTATGTGAAACAAATAGGAAAAAATGAAACAGACATGTTCCACCCTTACCCCATGGCACATGATGGAACAAGATGGAACAAACTTACATTTTACCAACATAATCTCAAAATAAAACTTAATTCTATTCTTAAACATTAAATAAGTCTATTTTTTACATTTTGTTCATTTTTTAGATTTTATTATTATATTTATGCTTTTAAACTTTCATTTTATTGTTCTCTAATATTTTTATATGTATTTTATTATATAGTAATAATAAAATAATGTAAATAAATATAAAAATTGGAAACACATAAACTTTCTATTTTTATGTCGTTTTAATTATTTTGACGAAAATTTTGTAATGATATATTTTATTATAATTTAATAAATTACACAAATTAATCAAAATATATAAACAACTCATTAGGAGTAAATTGATCATTTTTATTCGTTCAATTTTGTCTAATTTTTTATCTTACAAAATATTGAACAACTGTTTTGTTATGTTATATTTTATCATATCTAGACACCAAACACATCCATAAGAATCATATATTTCTTATATATATACTATATTACAAAACATTTGACAAAAAACTCTAAAAAACTATTTTTTATGTACGAAGTACTGTATATTGATGCATATTACTTAAAATTTCAGATTACAAGTAAATTATGCACAAGTACAACTTATTAAAGCTACATGTTTGAATTCGTGTAACTAACTACGGATAAACATAATCAAATAGAGGATAAATATCTAATTTTAAAATATAAAAAATCTAAAATATAATTAAGATAATTATCGAGTTCTAACAAAATAATTAATTATTATCTTTATAAGAAAATTATATTATTAAACCAAATATAAATAACTTCGTTATTAACCTAAATTAGATTATAATAAAAAAAATTGAATTAAAAATTACACAAAAGATAATGAATTTTAAATAGTTAATTTGATGTTAATATCGATATATTTTTGTCAATATTTGATATCTTTAAATTTATATTTTATTAAAAATAAAAACATTATCGTTTTTCAAAATCACATAAAACCATATTATAACATCGATTGAGATAAAAAAATAAAATAAAATATTAAAATCAAGATGTATTTTAATACATTATTGCGAGTTCATTTTAGTTGTAAAATAATGGAAATATAAAGGGTGTTTTTGTGATTCAATATGGATTAATGACTTCTCTACTTTGAAGAATTCCGTGTTTTTCTGGTTCCGTTTAAAATTTCCTGTTTATTCGTCTTTTCTGTTTATTCCAATTGGATTTGGGAATTGGGAATGCTCTCTCTTCGATCCTCCTCGAATCTAATCCCTTCCATTTACTTTCTTCTTCTTCATCATCAACCTTTTCTGCATGGTTAGTTTCTTCAATTTTCTTTATCCCTTTTGCTTTTTTCAAGGAATTGCTTCAATGTTATGGACCCCAAAAAGAAAGAGGATTTCAAATTGATTCTTACCTTCCCCCATTCATCAATTTTTGTATTTGGGGTGATTGAATTTGGTCCCATTTTGGTAGGTTTTTGGCAAGTGTAGAGAGAAGGAATGGCATATAGGGTGGATCACGAGTATGATTACCTATTCAAGATCGTCTTAATCGGGGATTCGGGTGTCGGAAAATCTAACATACTTTCTAGGTTTACCAGGAACGAGTTCTGTTTGGAGTCTAAATCCACCATTGGTGTTGAATTTGCTACAAGGACTCTACAGGTTTGCCCCTTTCTCCCAAGCTTATTTGCATATCCAGTCATTCTATTTGGTCTATGATGTTAATCACATTCAATTCGGACATGATTGCCTTTCACATGTTGCATTTCAATACCTAATATGTTCGCTTGTCACTGTTAGAATTTCCAAGATAGATTAATTGATCATGAGTTCATTGATTTTTTATGGTTTGTGCTTTTGATTATCTATTCAGTGCATACAAGATCATATACAAAAACTGCAATTTGAGTGCTGCCATGGAATATGGAGCTAAGTATGTATCTACATATAGCAATGTACATCAAGTTGGAGAAGTGCCATTAGTATCTTGGGTTATGGATTAACAATTCTATGTATCTTAATTACTGTTGAATGCACACAATCCACTACAAGAACTGTGGTTATATATACATGCCCAACCTGCTTTTGACCAAATGTCCATGGAATTCGACATTTCACCATACATATACAATGCTACATTCTAATCAAATGTCAAATACCAAATACCAAATGTATACGATCCGTAACATACTACATCAAACACACCAATTACCACGTTATATACGTTTGTGCAACCATCAAAATTACATTGGCCAAAAAGTTAGATACTTGTTATTTCCATTAAATGCTGACATTGGTTAGATGGACTTGTGGCCAGATCATGTTAGACAATGAGGTCTTCCTGGTGGAGTTGGGAGTTGCGCCTATCGTAGATAAGTGGAGAGAGAGAAAACTATGGTGGTTTCGTCATGTTCGTAGGAGACTGATGGCGGCACCAATGATGAGAGTGAAGATTATGGTGGTTGAGGGGGCGAGGAGGATGTTGGATGATGGACATAACAACCTCTGATTGAAGTTCTTGGAGACGTAAACTGGGGTAGTAGAGTGAGTGTAGGAACATAGGCCTAGTGTCGACAGGAAGAAGGGAGTTTTTGAGGTTGAGGGTGGAGCATGGGAGGTTTAGGGTGTCGGGTATAATTGATACAAACAATGCACAAAAGTCTCAAATCAATACCAAAATGTGCAAAGATGCAACCTAACAACCAATACTGAAATTAGGGATCATAAATGTGTCCAAATGTACCAACAAGTAGAAAATGCAGTCCAAATAGATACCCAAACAAACTAAATGCAAATAAATGCAAAGAACACCAAGATTTAATGTGGTTTCAATATCGTGAGATTGTGTACATCCACGGGGGAGAGACGGAGCTTGCATATTGATGAACAAATGGAGGAGAATACAATGAAGTTTACCTTTGCAATGATCCTACAATCGATAGGTAAAACTTCTCTCAAAGTGCCTTAAAATCAGTGCAAAATCGCCTTAGGGAAGAGAGCCACCAAAAGTCTAGCTAAAACCCTAAGAGAAATGACTTGAATGCTGAAAACAGCCTTCCACGTGACATACCTGTGACCTAAGTCGCGGGTAGGTCGCCCGCACGCCCCAAAACACGGCCCGCACGAACCCGCGCAAGCTTCTGGTGTCCACTAGCATACACGACACAGGTTGTGACAACCAATGCCCGATATTTGGGCCCAAATCAATCAGCTTCAAAGCGGGCAATTGGTGGTGGTGCGTATCAAACTTTCAACATAGGGAGCTTGAAGGTAAGGTTTCAGGGTCCGTTGTTAGATGGACGGTTGTTTGTGTTTTCCTTACTTTCTATATGTTTTATTCTTTTTAGTTTGCTCCTTTTCTTTATTCTTTCTTCCTTCTTTCTCTTCCTTCCGTTTTGCTTCCACAATGCTTAAGCCGAGGGTCTTCATGAAAACAACCGCTCTATCCTTTGGGGTAGAGGTTAGGTTTGCATGCATTCCACCCCACAGACCCTGCTCTCGAGCGGGATTTACTGGGATCATTTGGTTTGGTTTGGTTTTGCTTGGCTCACATTGGTTCAAAGTTCTACCAATAATTATACTACCCAAAAAAACATATGCTGATATTGAATTACTATATAATTAGCTTTAAGCATTGTAATGCAGGTTGAGGGGAAGACGGTGAAGGCACAAATATGGGATACAGCAGGTCAAGAAAGGTACCGAGCAATCACAAGTGCTTATTATAGAGGAGCAGTAGGTGCCCTCTTGGTCTACGACATAACCAAAAGACAATCGTTTGAAAACGTGCTAAGGTGGCTTCGTGAGCTAAGAGACCATGCCGATTCCAACATTGTGATCATGTTGGCTGGAAACAAGTCCGATTTGAACCATCTGAGAGCCGTTCCTGAAAGCGATGGTCATGTGTTAGCCGAGAAAGAAGGGCTTGCATTCCTAGAGACTTCTGCACTAGAAGCACATAATGTTGAAAAGGCGTTCCAGACGATATTGTTGGACATCTATCAGATCATAAGCAGGAAGGCACTGGCGGCTCAGGAAGCGGCAGCTGCTGTTCCTGGCCAAGGTACCACCATAACCGTTACTGATAGTGGGAACGCTAAGAATAAACAGAAAACTTGTTGTTCGAACTAAAACTAAAACGAAATACGTATTTGTACATTTGGCGGATCACGATTATGAGATGCACTGGAAATACCCAAAACTAACATTATGGCAACAACAATTGGCCCCTTAACTGCACAAGGTTTGCAGGCGTGAGTTTGGTCGACAGAAGACATGAAAGTGAAAACTTGAAAAAGAAAAAGGAAAGAGAGAGACGATAGAAGATTGAAGATTGGTTGGTTTAGGCATAGAGAATTAGATTATAGAAAGCTTTGTATATGTATATTTTGTTTAAGGAAAGATGTGTGTATATGATCAATCCAGCTTCAATTAACATCATACAGTTTTACTTCCATTTGGTTGTTTACATGCATTCTTGGCAGACTCCTAGAAATATCTACATATAAGGGGCCATTTACCAAACGCTTACCCGGATAAGCGCTTACCAAGTAACATGATGATCTCACCGAGAATCTTACCCGGTAAGAGCGAGACACGGACCAAGAGTCTTATCCGGTAAGTGGGGGCGATGACTCTTACCATGGTAAGCGCTTACCGGGTAAATTGTTGCATATAATATCATTTTGGTGGATTAAAATCTTACCCGGTAAATAAATAATAGTGTTAAATTTAACCGGTAAGCACATACCGGGTAAGTGTTTGGTAAACGGCTCCTTACTTATACTGAATTTGTTTGATTTGCTTTTAAATGAAATATACTGAATTTGTATAAATTTATAATAAATACTGGTTAGAATTAGTTCGAAAGGAGTAACTATATGGTGCTAACCAATAAAATTTCTTTTGAAAATTCAAAAAATATATATATATATATATATATATAAATAAATAAATAAAAGAAAGACTGCAATGTTTGTAAGAATAAGTCAAAACGCAATTATAAAAAACATTGTTTTTGACAATTGTGGTGATAAATCATTCAATTTTTTTTAAGTATATAATACTTATATACGACAAATGTCACAAATAAAGTTAAACACCTTCTTTATCTTTGACGAGGTTTGAACCCCTGACATCTTAGGAGACCAAAAGATACGATACTGCTAGGTCAAAGGCTACAATACCGCTAGACCAAAAACCTTTTAGTAAAATCATTGGCTTTCTGCATCTTGGCAACAGTTGTTTATTTACAACAAAAGAACAAGAACAATGCTTGTTGTCTACCGGTTTCAATTTAAAATGGTTGCACCATGTGTGTAAATATATTTACAAACATATATTTACAAATATTTGGGTTGTGATGCATTAGTTAAGATTATTGGGAATGTAGTGGTAATCTCATTTTCACTTGTTCGAATTCAGGCGCTGCCAAAACCCTTATGTCCATGCAGGGTTCACTTGTGATGACTCTAGGCCATTCATGATCACCAGTTGGATTAGTCGGTGCAAATAAGTTAAGCTTGATAACTACGGTTACAAGAAAAACGATCGAAGAGTATTAGATAATGCGCCATAGACATATTTTTCGTTTATAAAAACCGTAACACCTTTTTTAGACTGCTAAAAGAAATGCTACATGACCTTTTTTGTGAAAATCTTTTTCCAATATTACTTTATGCTTAACAATAATATTAGCAAGAGGTTATGGTTCATAAAATTCGACTTATAATGAGGTATTAAGTTTTCGTTTATTAGTAAAAATATTACTAAACTATATGCGAAGTCAAACATTGTAACTTTTTAAACGAATACAAAGTATTTGTTATCCGATTCCAAAACTTCAAACGATAATCCTACGCCCATCTAGTATTTGTAAGAGTGATGTAAAAAGTGACATATATGTAATATTTCAAATTGAAGAAGTTAATCAAAGAGTGAATGCATTAGTGTTTAGTTAGACGGAATTTCATGGTGGAGGTTACACACGATATGGGTTTCAGTGAAATATTTTTTGAACCAGACTCAAGTTGGAGAATGAAGATCGTGAATGCCCCAACTTGCCAAGAAGATAATGAAAGCGTTTCGTGCCTAGAGCCTTCATGAAAATGTTTGCAGTTTGAGATGCAGAATATATGCGTTCAGGACGAATTTCTTGAGACTCCACATGTTCACGTAACTATTTATCACCACATGCTTTGTACGTTCGTGGAAGACAGGATTGTTGGCTATCTAGCGAGCAACTTGGTTGTTGCAATAAAGTGGAGTCGATCCATGTTGAGATGCCTCAAGGTCATTAAGAAGCCAACGTATCCAGAGTATCTCGCTAACCGTGATTGTCATGGCTTGATATTCTGCTTCAGCACACGATCGTGAAACCACAGATTGCTTCTTTGTTTTCCATGATATTGGTGCTCCTCCCAGAAGAATTAGATATCTCGTCCTAGAGCGTCGGGTATAAGCACAACCAAGCCAATCTATATCGCTATACGTGACCAAATTCAGATCACCATCTTTTGGGAAAATATTCCTTGACCCGTAGATGACTTGAGATATCGTAAAACCCTCATGACAACATCCATGTGTTTTTGTCGAGGGTTTGAGACGAACTGGCTTAGTATATTTACTACACATACTATGTTTGATCTCGTTACTTGCAAACAGAGCAACCGTCCAATCAGGCGTCTGTATCGATTTGCGTGAACAAGTGGACTATCATTACATCGATCAAGTTGCAAGTTTTGTTCCATAGGAAAGGCACTAGGGCTGCAACCTTGAATACCACTGTCTTCCAGAATATCCAATGTATATTTTCGTCGACTAAGGACGAGCCCATCCCTAGTTCTCGCAACCTTGATTCCCATAAAGTACTTTAAAGGCCCCAGATCCTTAATACTAAATTTCTCATCGATGAATGCCTTCGTTACTTGTATTTTTGTCAAGTCGTTCCCAACAATAATCACATCATTGACGTATATTAAGGCCGCAACATATACATTGTCTTTCTTGTAGATGAAAAGAGAGTGATCAACATTGGATTGTTTAAAGCCCTTACCCAAGAGAGATTCTGTGAATTTTTGGTACCAATTTCGTGACGCTTGACAAAGACCATAGAGTGGCTTCCTTGATTGACACACCCTTGTATCACCTTTCTTTAAGAAACCTTGAGGTATCCTCATGTAAACTTCCTCGTCAAGGTCACCATGTAGGAAGGCGTTGTTCACGTCAAGTTGATGGATGATCCAGTCTTTCTTGGTGGTGACAACCAATAGACTCCTTACAGTAACAAGCTTTGCTACCGGTGCAAAAATGTCATGGAAGTCTACTCTCTCCATCTGAGTAAAACCCTTCGCTACTAAACGGGTTTTGTATCTTTCAACCTCTCTATTGGGCATGTATTTGATCTTGTACACCCACTTGGAATCTATTGCTAGTTTTCCATGTGGTAATGCTTCCAAAGTCCAAGTCCCATTTTCTTCTAAGGCTTTTATCTTCTTTTGCATGGCATCTCTCCACTTGGGATCACGAATGGCCTAGTGAAAATGTTTGGGCTCATCATGTGAATTGATGGGCCATAAGAAGGCCTTATGTGGATGAGAAAACTTATCATAAGAGACAAAATGAGAGAGAGAGAGGGTGTACCGTTGAGGAACCTTGATCAGAAGTGGGTTGTGAGTGGTTTATCGATGGAGCTAGCTTCATGATAAAATATTTAAATCGTTTTGGCTGAGATCGATTTCTTTTGTGCACATCACTAGGTTGGCCCAAGTCTAGGATTTCTTCTTCATTAGTTGTTCCTGTCACATCTGGTAACTCATCTTCTTTTGTGTCTAGTTCTTTTGTCTCATTCGATGGTGAGGGAACTTCGTTTTCAATTCCCTCCTTTTGTTCAACAGTAAACTTGGAGGAATTTTCTTGTTCATCCTCAATGAAGTTGAAGTCTTCTTTCTAGATGGTTTGACAAGTATTTTTGGCAACATGAAAGGGAAAAATATGCTCCATAAATTTTACATCTCTGGAAACAATAATTTTGTTTTCATTGATGTCGTAAATTCGATAGCGTTTTTTTCCTTGTGGATACCCAATGGCGGGTCTCCCCCTCATTGCGAACTTGTCCCCCTCTGTGTCAGTGTTCCTGGATAAACCAAGCAACAAGGACTTTCATGTGTTCATAATTCGGTTTTTCTTTAAACAAAAACTCGTAGGGAGTTTTATTTTCAATGGCCTTTTAAGGCAACTTGATTATCATATAAGTGGCAGTGAGAACAGATTCTCCCCAAAATTTTGCTGGGAAACTAGCTTCAAACCTTAAGGCTCGTGCCACTTCAAGTAGATGTCGGTGTTCTCTTTCGACAACCCCATTTTGTTGAGGGGTGTGTGGGCAAGAAGTTTCTAAAAGTATCACATGCTTTGCATAAAAATCAACCATGAAGTTGGAAGTAAACTCTCCTCAATTATCACTTCTTATTCTTTTAATACTTTTTTCAAATTGTGTTTTGTCCATGTTGTAAAAATCTATCAGACAATTACTCGCTTCTGAATTGTGTTTGATTAAGTAAACCCATATGGCCCTACTAAAATCATCAACGATGGTCAAAAAATACTTGGCACTCGATAATGAAGAAGTGCGATAGCCGCCCCATATGTCACAATGTATTAAATCAAAACAAGCAGAAGATTTTATTGAACTATCCGAGAAAGGCAATCTAGTGTTCTTAGCTTTTTCACAAGAATCACACACTTTTCCTTTCAATAAATGAGAAAAATTATCTAGAAAGCTGATCTTATTGAGCTTCGATTCCAACGCATGTCCTAACCTTTTGTGCCAAACTTCAATATCAACCTTAGCTAGCATCGCTCTATTTCCATCTACTTCTGAATCCATCCAATAGAGACCACCTTTGCATTTACCCGTTCCAATCAGGTTCCTCGATTGTAAGTCTTGTATTACACAAATATCAAGAAAAAAAGGTTACGGCACAATTAAGTGCTTTCGTTAGTCGGCTAATAGACAAAAGATTGCATTTGAAGTCTGGAATATGTAAAACTTCTGTTAGTTCCATTTCATTAGGCAGCATGCAACTTTCGGTTCCTTTTACATGAATTAAATCTCCATTCAGAATGGTAACTGGTGTCGTTCGTTGGCTATCCTCTTTGTTTTGAAGTAAATCACCATCGTTGGCCATATGCTTAGTAGCTCCTGTATCAATGCTCCAGTCTTTATTTAAGAACATCTTACCAGTCATGTTGACACTTGGTGATGTCGAGTTCAAGGATGCGCTTGTCTCATT